TAACAAAAATCACATTTGAGAAATAAAGAACATAGAAGAGTTCGTAATTGAACCCGAAACAGATCTGACGACAGAAGAACGCCAAGAACTCTTGAATGAAGAACACCAAGAAACTTGGCGAGATATGTTTTCTTCTGAAAAAGAGGATTAATGTCGATATCTGTTATTAAAGATCCTTTGAAGAAGTGGGAGGATGTCTGAACAACGATCTTAGAATGGCATCCAAACTAGGTTGGATGCTGCTCTGAGGCTTGGGGATTTCTACAATTGCAATGCTATTAATTACTTACGAAAAATCCTGAAGAAGAGAGAAAAGCAATCTTTAACCCTTTCAAACAAAAAAAAAAACACGACTAATAAAAACGAAGACTGTGTATGTATGTATTTTTATTATTACATATAAATAAACGTAGTGAGAAAGTATATATTTTTTTATTTTGGGGTCTCCAGAACGAATTAATTAAATTTCCATTAANCAAAAAAAAAAACACGACTAATAAAAACGAAGACTGTGTATGTATGTATTTTTATTATTACATATAAATAAACGTAGTGAGAAAGTATATATTTTTTTATTTTGGGGTCTCCAGAACGAATTAATTAAATTTCCATTAAAACCTGTGGTAAATCGATAATCGGTTAACGAACAATTCGGATAGCGAACAAAGTCTTGGAACGGATTCGTTAACCGATTACCCACTGTATATATATAAGAATTTAATGCAGTAATTTAAATTAATGATCACTGTTAAATAACTTTCAAGCAATGTACCGTACATAAATTTAAAATCTGTATTTTTATTATTACATATAAATAAACGTAGTGAGAAAGTATATATTTTTTTATTTTGGGGTCTCCAGAACGAATTAATTAAATTTCCATTAAAACCTGTGGTAAATCGATAATTGGTTAACGAACAATTCGGATAGCGAACAAAGTCTTGGAACGGATTCGTTAACCGATTACCCACTGTATATATATAAGATGATTATCAAAAAGATAAAAATAAAACTATTACATTATATTTAATGGAATAGTGGTCCACTATTGACAAAAGTCCATGAAATCAAATGTATTTTAAAAACAAATATTAATAACAAATTTACAATGTATAGAATGTATTAAAATATTCTTGTAATTTGTAAATAAAATTACTATAATGTGCATTGAGTGATTTATGCTCATTACCTTATTGATTCACTGACCAAACCTTTTAGTGTGCTCTATTTTCAGATTAAAAAAAAATATTTTTGTTTGTTTAATGAAGGGTCCAAGGGCATCCACATGGGAAAAATGGGGCACTTGTTGTCCTCCCTTGAAATCAAGTAAAAAATTTCACAAATTATAATATTAAAAGTGATTGAGCTATGTAACCTTACTTCCATGACTGTATTCTATAACCTATTTGTGAAAAACCTCCGAAAATTCAATAAGTTTTTATTGGTGTAATTATTTGTCTCCCCTGGAAATTTTTTTTGCGGATGCCTCTGGAAGGGTTATATATATATATATAAACAAATATATGCTGTATATATAATAGATGTATTAGAAGAAATATTTTAATAAGGTATAATTGATTTGTTAATAAAATTGCTTATCCAAAATTTTAGTGTGAAGTTTTTTGTAATAATAAAATTTTTTTTACGACAATAAATAAGATTGTACTGTTTATTCTGATTGTTAATATTTTTTGCTGATAAATAGGAAAATGTGCTTTCATATACAGTAAATTTTTCCACTGCTGATATCATTAATAGGAACAACCTCAACACCGTACTAAACTTCTTATAGAAAGATTATAAATATAAAAAGTCAAATAAGCAGTTTTATATATATCTTTTTAATTAGATTATAATACATTAACTTCAAATATTGTTAGTGTAAGTAAAAATAAAGGATTAGATTTAGAATAAACAAAGTTTAAATGCAAAGTAATCGAAGCTATAATTATTAAATTTGAAAAATTATAATTATAGATATTTGCATTATTAAATATTAATTCTTCGAGTTAATTAAATTTAACTTACGTTTTGAAGTAGCTCTGCAGGTACAGGGAAGCAGCGCTGTCCTTATTCTGTGTCATATGATGATTTGGATCAAAAATATATCAAGATTGCCCTGGGGTAATACTTTCAAGTACTGTCAAAACGATTATTATTCAGTTCTATTTCTTTGCTAAAAGTTATATTCAGGAAACGTAAAAATGATTTGCCTATCTAAAAATACAATAAAAAATTATCTAATTAATGTGTGTTTGTTTTCGAATGAATTAAATTTCAAACCGTGAACGAAACAGCAAGTAGTACTAGTATTGGAAAGTCGCTTTACGTAATTTCTATTGTTAAATATATTTAAAACTTTCAAACACCTGTATGACGTAAGAAATGTAAATTAGCAAAACTAATCGAAAACTTGAAATTTCTATCAATTGTTTTAATTCTCGAAGAAATGTTGAAACGTCTGGTTTATTAATTAAACAACGAAGTGTTTCGTTTCCTTATTTAATAACTCTATTTAAGGGAATCGGTAGTTTTTCCGAGGATGTAAGGTAAATATTTAGAAATAAAAAAAAAATTTAAGATATTTTTATGGCCAAAAATATCACAAGGATAAGGTTCGTTCGGTCATATGCTCCCTTATCGGATTCGAATTGTTGATTTGTAGGTCATCCGGCCGTTACGCTGTATTCATTAAACGATAAAAAGATTTTAAGAAATATTCCTCGTGTCTTATAATTCTGTTTTTAGTAACAGTCGTCATCGTGTGTGATGTGGCGTGACGTCACGATCGATTCTCGTGACATCACGCGCAAAGTCACGCGCGCGTAATTTCAAGTGTTTATCTTTTCTGTACTTGGAAAATTCGATAAATAGTTAGAAATTTTGAAAGCAACATTTCTAAGAGATTATATATCGTAATATGTAAAATTTCGATTTTTATTTAAAATCATCGAATAAAATTAACTCTACTGTTCAGAATTTTAAAAAATTTATTGGCGGTAAACAGACTTTTCATAGCACGTGTTGAAATCTGGCTTTCTTCGGTAGGTATTGTTTCCGGAATTCTTCGGGTATTTGTTTGGTGAACTTGTAAGATGAAAAGTATTGTTGCTGCTTTGCATTGTTCGAAAATTGATCCCGTATGAATCGATTTATTTATTATTATTAATTTTATATTCGATTATAATTTAAGTTAAAAATGTATATTTAGATTTCTAGATTGCATTGTTTTTAAAACGATCGCTTTAATACAATATTTTAAATGCGTAATCATTTTTAAATTTATTTAATCCTTCGTAAAATATTCTTATGGTTTTATGAATCATTTTACAGTTTAGAGATTTAATACTTGATTTTATCGATAAAATCAAGTAAATCGATTTTTAAATTATGATAATTCAACGAAAGTATAACACTGATTTTTATTTTGATATTCGAATAAATTCTAAAAGATTTATTTTTTTGAAGTTTTTATAATTTCTATATTTTAAGAACAAGTCAATATAGTTTAGAATATCTTGTAATTTTTGTTAAAATTTAAACTGTATAAAACAATGGAAAATATACTTTATATATAAAGAGTGTAAAGCTTGTTTAAATTGTGACTTAAATTTAAAATTTTTAGAATCATAGTATGTAATGTATTTATAATATTAAAAATTACTTTTATTATCTGTAATTATAACAAATAACTTACATTTGCAATATTAGTTTATTACTATGGTTTTGATAGGAAGGAATAGACAAATATTTTATAATGATTTTTGCAAGCTTTTATATAAAAAAACAATCAAACATTCTAGTACAGGTACTAAACTATTTATGAAGCATGAACAGTTTGTTCAAAAGTACTAGAACATTTGATCTTTTGTATAAAAATACATGTATTAATATGAATTTAATTAAGATATGCTATTTGCACATGCTTTTTGAATTTAAGTTGCCATTAAATTTAATGTGTCCTGAAAAACAAATTTATTCCTTTATTCGTATATATTATTTCCCTCGTTTAGTTGCAGTTTTAATAATTGTAGATTTTTTTTTTAATTCAAAGTCTGATTAAAATTACTTTGTACAGTATTCTACATTAGTATGTAGAAAATGAATTGTGTATGTGGTTTTTTTTGTTTTGTTTTCTTCTATATTAAAATTAATAAAAGGATTAAAAAAATATAGTTTTTCTGCAATTTGCAAAAAAAATTAAGAACAAAAATCAGAATATTGTGCTTGACTTTTTAAACTGATTACTTTTGATTAAAAATTTTAATTTATACTATATCATGTTAATTATATGCAAAATGAAATTAATAATTGTGATAAAATTATCATAATTTTTAAAAGTCAAATAATCCAAGTTGCAATAACATTTTATTCTTGTATATTTTATGATGTGATGATTATTTTATTACTTTTTCATGTAGCAGCATTATATTTATATTGTATAATATATTATTATTTTGAAATTAATTCTGATTGTTTGTTTTTTTTTTAAATTCTGTTTGTTTAATTATGTTCACATTTAAACATTTAGAATTTCACTTGAGATAAGTACTGTTGAGTAATTATCAACTTCAAATATTTATAAGAAGACAGATATGATTAAATAATTTTATGCTCTAATTGATAAACTAAATGTAATTATTGGTTATTAGCATATGTTTCAACACAATTATCCATGACAAGCAAGCATGCTATTAACTTATTATTATATTTTGAATTAATCAAAATTAGCAGGATATGTGCATACATTTGACATATGACAATAGTATTTTTTTTTTAATCTAACAATCTTGAAATTATCTCAATATTTTGTATACTTTAAGCTTCAGAAATTTCCAGATTTTATTTTAAATACTCTAACACATTACAAAGATTATAAATAATGATTAATCTTTATACTATAGGTGACAGATAATTTTTTGACCCTCTTAATTTTTATCTAAAGTTTTACTAACCAGTGAAAGTTCTAAGTCCATGTTTCTAATTGATATCAATTTCAGTTTGTCGATATAGGTGAAGATACACTTGTTCCTGACGATTTTACGGAAACTGAAATGCAAACTGGAATGTGGTGGCGTCATCTAGTGGCTGGAGGTGTAGCAGGAGCTGTATCTCGTACTGGAACAGCACCATTAGATAGGTTAAAGGTATTTCTTCAGGTAAGATTTAACATTTATTATTTTTGTCTTTTCAAAATTGCAAGTGACAGCATGTATAAACTTTAGTAATATGTACATAATTTAATATATTTAGTGAAAGATACATTTATAATCAATGAGGATAAAGGATTTATTGAATCATTATTTTTTCCATTAATAAAAATAAAAATTTTTTTTGTAATGAATGAATAGTTAAAATTTATTTTATTCATATATTAAAGTAGTTATTCTCAATATAGTTTAATGCATGATACCATAGAAAAACTGAAGTAGGGATGCTGCAGGAAGTTCTTTGTATCTCATCTCCACTAAAGCTGAATTAGCATTTCTGGTATCTTAATCTAAAACATTTACTTTCTCAGCTGTATTTATATAACATGGAAAAGTATTTCAATTGTGTCAAATTTGAACCTCCAGGATTTTTGCAAATCTTGACATTTTGAGACCCCCTGAACCCAAAAATGTAAATGAAATAGATTCCAACACACACAAACACAGAATTTTTAATTTTAAAACACAGAATTTTTAATTCTGTGTTTGTGTGTGTTGGCATCTATTTCACTTAATTTTTCAGATTGAGGTAAAAATTAAGAAATTAAATTTGGTATGGTAACTTGTATATAATGGACATTGATACTATAAAATTTTGGTCATTAATGGTTAAACACAAAATAATCCTGCAACATGTTGCATAACTTTTCTCAGCAAAGCCAGGAAAGTTACATGCAACATGTTGCCAGATATTTTTTGTCTACTAATGAAATATTTCAATATATAGTGGATTCCGCTTAATTGGGCCACCAGTTAATTGGGGCAGCCATTCTATTGGGCAAAATCTTAAAGAACGGAAATCAAACTAATAAAATAATACATGATTTAAATGCTTAATTGGGACAATAGGAGAAAATTAATTTAGCAATTTTTGATATATTTTAGGGATCTTCCAAAAATACTGTATATCAGCAATATGTACACTAATGTCGTTTAGGCCTAACGGTTAGCAGAGACAAAGCAATTATGTGTTTTGCTCGAGCAATTCAGTCTTTCCGGAGGGGAGTCAGAATCGCAGGACGTATCACACCACAATCTCATCTGAGGTGGACCTGAATTCGAGCAACTGACCCTGCTTCAGATTGGATCATCATTGGTATAATGATGATATTGTGTAAACGAACATGATTGGTCAATTTGAACCAGTAACAAACACTGCCAAGGAGAGATCATTTAGGAACATGATTGGTTAAATTTGAATTGGTGGTGCATGCATCTCAAGGAAGAGACCATTGGCAAAAAACATTATGTAATGTGGCAGACCTAGAATAAAGCTATAACTAGCAAAGCTGCTGATTGGTTGGCCGTCAGCTGTCAACAACTATATAAGCCTGACACAGATGCAGGAAATTCAAGTTTGTATCTGTCTCACTGACTGTCTTCATCTCTTAAATCTTTGTCAAGATGCTAAGAAATGATTTTGCACTTTCAAGTAAAATTGCTTTGCTGGATAAAATTAAAAGCCAGCCATTGAATACAAGCCATCGTAGACTTGCTGATATAACTGGTGTACCAAAATCTACCACTTCACATCTCCTACAACAAGAAAATCAACAAAAAGAAATTCCAGGAACATCCAAACGAAAGCATGATGGAAAAGATCCAGAAGTTGAAGAAGCATTAGATCAATGGTTTTATATGGTTAGTGGACGAGGCATAAATATCAGTGGTTCAGTGTTGAAGGCGAAGTCAGATGAGATTGCTAAAAAGTTAAGCCACAATGATTTTAAAGCAACTAATGGTTGGTTGTCTTGATGGAAAACAAGACACACTATCAAATACAAAAAGCACATGGCAAAAAGGGTAGTGCAGGTAACGTAAGTGCTGAACAGTGGCAAAAAACTAAAATCCCTACTTTTTTAGAGAATTTTTGTTCAGATGATATTTACAATGCTAACGAAACCGGCCTCTATTACCATGCTAAGCCAGATGGCTCCCTGTGTTATAAGCACATTGCACTGTCGGGTATAAGAGAGCAATGGACAACATTACTGTGTTATGCTGTACAAATATACAGGTACTAATTGCAGGAAAAAGTGTTAAGCCTCAATGCTTTAAGGAGAAAACTTCAAGAAATAAATTGTTTGTGTGAAATTAATTGATGGCATACTCTGTAGTATTAATTTGCATAAATAAATGTTTCTGAAGTATTCTCTCTCATTAAGCTCCATTCCAAAATTTCCCATTCTTTTGAGTCACCCTGTACAATAGCATGCATAGAAGATGAAGAGAGTACAGTAGAGCGTCGTTTATCCGAATCAATTGGGGACTGGGGTTGTTCGGATAACGAATCATGTACGAAAAAATATATTAATTTATCCCGTGTTGAAATTTCTCTCCGTTGCGTGTCGCTTTGCGTTGAATTTTCGTCGATGTTAAGCCTAACGAAGACTATTGTATCGTTAAAAATTATTTTTTTTATTTTGTACAAACAAAATAAATTTATTGAAAAATATAAAAACAATAAAAAATTATACTTCAGATGTTAATTTAGTATCAAAAACGTAAAATATTTGAGTAGCCCGAGAAATAGCCGAAGATTGCAGCGCCACAGCACTAGCGAAAATTTAAATTTGCCGACTGGAATGCTTTCGGATAACGGACGTTTCGGATAACCAGCTTTCGGATAAACGACGCTCTACTGTA